CCTGTCCTGTTTTCCTCTGTCCTGCGCTGGGTCTGCCCTCTGTGTGGATTCAGAGGCCAGTGCGGAATGAGAAGCACCACCCATGTGTGTTCCCTCGGCTCCGCTGTGGGGCCCTGGGCAGAGCGGAAAGCCAATAAACCCGACTTCAGCACAGCTCGCCGCCGCCTGCAGTGCGCTGGGGACAGGCCAGCCCGCCCTCTGGGGAACTCTGTGGGGGAGCCGGCCGCTCCTGTCCAGCCCCGGGGGTCAGGGCTCCGCCCAGAGGGGCGGCTGCAGCAAGCTACGTTCGTTTTGGGGTTTCCCCGGGTGGCTGTGTCCATCTTGAAAGCCTGGGACCATTGACCTAGACTCTGAGCTCCTGGAGCGTGGTCGTGGGTGACAGCGGGGTCACCGGGGCCTTAGTCTGAGCATTAGCACGGAAGGGTGACGGCTACACAGACTGCCGTAGCCTTTAGGACGAGTGAAGGGTGGCACCGGTGAAGCCCTGGGCACACAGCCTGGCATACAGCAGGCGCACAATAAATGCTGGCCAGAAGGAGGACACAGGAGAGAGGAGATGGGGCGGGAAGGAGGGGGAAGGACAGGGGTCAGTGACAGGACACTGGGTCACGGTGACTCACCTCCACTGGAAAGAAGCCAGTGACCTTGCGCAAGCCCAGCCCATGGGCCTTCAATGTCACTCCATCATGCCACCCTCAACACTGTGTGCGGCCCCTGCGCTGGCCCCACCTCCCGGGAAGCAGCCACTTGCTATCTTGCCACCTGTCCCCAAAGGAGACACCGCTGTGGCATCTGGGCCTGTGCAGTCTTGCTGTCCTGCGGCGGGTGGGCACCTGTGCCCGCCCCTGGCTGCAGTACCCACATCACTTTCGGTATCCCGGACACCCCCGTCTCTCCCTCGAGGCCTTTGCCAGCTGCTTCCTCCTCCACACTTCCCTACCCTTTCCACTGGGAGAGCCACTCCTGCTGTTGGACCCACCTCAACGTCACCTCCTCCAGGGAGCCCTCCAGGGTCCCTTCACCCCAAGTCCAGATTAACCCTTCTAGAAGGTCAGACACAGTCCTGATGGGCATCTCCCAAGTGCTCAGTGTGGCCCACCGCCTGCCTCAGCCCTCGGCTCCACCCAGCACATCCCGAGGCGGGCACTTCTCCCAGAGGCTCAGATCACGGGGTTCTCACCAGCACCAGCACCGCCACGTCCTGCAAGGACCCTCCCAGCTCCCCTGGTCCTCCAGGCCCTCATGTTTTACTCGGCATCTCCAGGCACCCCAGGTCTCCCACCCCCAGGTCCCCATCATCAACAGCCTCAAGAATTGGACTCAATTCTGACTCCAGCATTGAGTCCTGGTGCCCCTGACTCTCCTGCCTGCCGGCTCCCCACCCTGTCAACTTCTGTCACCCCCGGGGAGCCACTGTGCCCAGCCCTGTCCCCTGACCCGAGGCCTCAGCAAACCCTCCTGGGTGCGCTGGGCAGCCCGGCCGGACTCAGAGCCACTGCGAGCCCGGTGCCACCATAAATAGACATTTTATTAACGTGCAGGTGCTGGCGGAGGGCGGACAGGTGTGCTGTGAGGTGCCTCTTCCCGGGCGTAAAGTGCGGTGGCCCCCCGAGCGCGGGCTGGGCTGGGGGGCAGCGGGTGCTGGGATGGGAGTTGAAGTGCCTCTGGAAGGAGTCACCTACGTAGGAGCGGATCCCAGGGGGCCCTCATCCTCCTGCCTGCCCTGCCCTCTCCTCCGCTGGCCCTGAGGCAGGCAGGGCCCTCCCAGGGCTGAGCAGGCTCAGGGTGGGGAGAGGGGGGAGCAGGAGGGCCGGTCCGCTCCACCTCTGGGCTCTGGGCCCCAGGCCCTGGGCAGCCGGGTGCTGGGCTGGGTGCTGAGGCCCTAAGAACAACGGCCCACGCGGGGCGCTGTCTGGAGGCCCACGGCGCCGGCTCTCATTCCCAGGGAGAGCGGAGATTCAGTTTCACATCTTCATGGCCCGGGCGCCCTGCAGGGAGTGTCCGTGGGGCCCCAGGTGGGGCGC